TATGGGGTGGGGCAGCTAAGCAACGTATAAGCTCAATATTTACTGCTCAGAAGTACTGTCTCAAGCTCAGAGTACTATTTGGTGATAGGCTGGCGTACCTTGATAAGTTTAAGACTTGTGCACGTACTAGGCCTATAGGACACCAGAAACTTGACCAAAAATTGTTCATAAAAGAACACACCAAACCGATATTCAAGCATAATAATATTCTAGCTATACAAAATCTCTATACATACCACAGTTACCTCGAGCTCTACAAGATAATGAAATTCCGTGCTCCAATATCCCTATATGAAGATTACACATGTTCGTCGAGGAAACCCTGCCTTCTAATCTGTCAGGTAGACCCACCTGACAACCGCAACACTAGGTCAACCAAAATTTTTAACATTTTAACCCCAAAGTTCAGAATGACTGACTTTACTACTAGTGTAATGTGCTTGCGAGGAAAACTTAAACGTGCGCTATTAGCCAATCAGCATAACCACGCCCTGCTTGATTGGACCGTAAAAGATTTTGACTGCACAAATATTATTTTCCAAACATTATAACTGGCTGGTCACACACATCTCAATTAAATTCCCCTAGGCTACTGTTTTCCAAGTCTTGTCCTGTGAGTAAAGAATGTGTGAGAAAGTATTAATAAAATAAATGTATATTTTTTGAATTTTCTAAATCTAATCTGAGAATGAAGTATAAAGAAATTTTTAATTAGCACTGTATAGTTTAAGATATTTATAGCTTATTATAACCATTGATACAAAGGCCATAATCTTTCGCCAGCTCTTTAATATCCACCTTGAAGCTACATTTTATATCCTTGAACTACACAATATAAACTAAAGCATGTTTTAGTGTAGGCTTTTTGTCACAACAAGACTGCAACCTATAGTATCAACTATAAACAGAACCCCTAATGTCTACTAAAAAATTTCCTCTAGTCCTAATATGAGCCTTGTCTCTAAAAACCTAACTGAACTAGCGTTTCGGTGTGTGCAAAAGCTTTCAGGCACGCACATTCCTTGCCCCGTTAGTTACCTGTCCTTCCAAAACCAAACTAGCAGTCAAGGACAAAAAGTCATACACCAAATGGGCATTATATTTTATGAATTGTTTTACTCTTTTTATTCTGTAAAATGTGCTAAAATTAAATTTCTTGTTTCATTGAATTTCTTGTTTCATTGCTTGTCCAGTAGACCCTCCTCATCAACAAAACTATCAAAATCTAAAGTGCCTATTCTAGTATTAGTATTACAGTACCCAAATAATAAACTATTAAACTCCATGGCTCTGTCATTCAGCCAGGAGGACCTAGTTGGAAGGATGGGTGAAACTATAACTTTAGAGTATGGACACATATCATAAATATTCTTGAGCTTCTTTGTCAGCTCATTAGCCCAATGTTTAACATCACCCCCTCCCCTCTTGATATTATTTACACCACAGTGTACTACAACGTTCTTGTATCCTACACAAAGAACAGGGTCTAACTGATCTATTGTGAAACATTCAATTCTTTTCCCAGGCAGTTTGTGACCAAATGTTCCTTTTCCAGCCCCAAATTTGAGGAACCGGGTGTTTGAATCACCAATAATCAATGTCGCATTGGTGCTCCTGCTTACGTAGCGAAAGGTTATACTGTATCTCAATTCCCTCTTTTCTGTGCTCTTATCAATTCGGTGGTCCCACAGAAACTGGGACTGTTTGCTCATCACATAGAGACTACATCCCTCTATTGTCTCTACGATTTCTCCTTCAAGTTGATCCTTTTTTGTGAATTTGACAGAGCAATCACCACCTAAGGATACTGTAAAAATGGAACTATCATGGACCAATGATTGCTCGTTATCAGAGTGCTTAGGAAGAAAGCTGTTCCCATCGGTGTACCGATTTATCAAGCACTGATTGATTGTTGAACTAGGACATTCTTCCTTTATCTTGGAGACAAGCTTATTAAGAACCTCAGGAAATTCTGTTGATGTCGGTTTTTCAGCTTTAGCCCCCGGGTACTGATAAGGTTCGCCAAAGCTCACAACCCCATGTCCATTTTCGGAGTTACTATCAAAGGCTTCCTTCTGTTGGTCTAAGAAAACTGAAAGCTCAGAGTTCAATTTTTCATCTACAAATTCTGGGACATACGACAGAATGTGCTTGGACTTAGGGTCGTCTACACTTGCATGCTTCTGTGCATCTAGGAGAAGCTGTTCTTGGTCTGTTTCACATGGAGCAGGTGACCTTATATGGAAAGGAGGCATGGGCAGATCAGGGGTGGAAACATTTGACGACCTACTGTTTTTAAAACAGTTGATGTCAAGTTTGAGCTCAGCAAGCTTGTTGTTGATAGAGTCAAGAGTTTTGAGATGGCTATCATTGTCTTTGAGGTTCTTGATGGACATCTGGATGGCTTCTAGAGAATAGTGTATAGAGCTACCATCAGATGTAGTGTGACCCGTTGGCATGCTCATGCTGCAGGAAGCTGACAAGTAGGAAGGGGACTTGACTTCGTTGTCAACTCTCTGTCCATTCACCACAGCGCAAACACTTTCAGCAAGACCTAGCAGGGATAGGAGACCTTCTGCTAGGGTGAGCTTGTTCAGAGATGAACAGCTCTTGATCATGTGTGGAGTAATGATTGCAAACTTTTTTAATTCAAATTTTAAGATACTGCAAATGTTAATCTTGATTAAGTCTACCTCGGAGCGTAGGTTCTGTGCATGGGTTAACAGATAGGTGTCGAGGGGAGCAGATCTATTTGAGAAGAAACTAAGGAGACTGCTTACATTTTTGTCTTCTTCTGAGTCCTGGTTTTCTGAATGAATTATTTTATCGACATCTCTAAGCATTTCGTCAATATCATCAATGACTGAAGCTGAGGGAGTGGTGGGTGTATCCTGATCGGGAACCGTAGTGGATGAAGTCTGGTCTGCAGCAGATTGAGGTTTCTCACACTTTTCTGTTTGAGTGTCAGTGGGGGTTTCCATCATGGTGAAGAAGCAATGGGGGTACCAGGCAGACCAGGGGGCACCTTCACGTCCAACTAGCACACTCACTGAAAAGAAGGAAGAGCAGAAAGCAGTTTGGAATGTTCTGTTGTGGAAAACAATGAAAGTGTAAACTGGATTAGTCAAAATGATTCAAAAGATTGAAAAATTGAACAGACTGACGGACTACGACACATGGGACAAGAGAGTGAGTGAGTATGAAAAATATGAGGTGGTTGGACTGGCAAGCCCTATCATTTAATCAAAATACATTACATATAATTCATAAGCCATATATGTCAGCCTGTTCTTGGAGCACAGCCCCAAAAGTTATCAGAAGTGATGTTCAAGTTTTAAGTTTAAAATTCTTTCAACACTATCTACACATTAATCAGGGTCCAATTGTCCAATTGTGGATTGTGGTGTGAATGGAGTTATACATTGCCAAACAGAAACATTATTCACTACAACTACTTAACTTCTTAACAGGTTAAGAGTGCCAGTCTTCTGTTTCAGCACCCCCTGGACCATCATAGTACCCCCGATGCAGTTGACTTTAGCAAGCCATGGACATATTGGACATCCTCAAATTATTTGTTATATAGTAGTGTTGAAAGTCTACCTTCCTAGGATCAGTTTCTTTCTGGTTTTATTATGTCATTGTACTAACTTTATTATACCTACGTACTACATGTATTTATATTGTATGGTTTCTGCTTCTCCTAAGTGTTAGTGTGGTTTACAATAAGATATGTTTTAATTTTGTATATGCCTTATAATGAGTTATATTTTTTTCATATTTTACACATTTGCTCACATCACTCACAGTCAGCTGCTCTGAAATGGCTAACCACATTCCTTGTGTTGTTGGTTAATCAAATGAGTGGGATATAAAAACCTCATTTCATTTCATTATTTCCCCGTAAAAAGCACAATAGTGTGAGTAGCTTTTGTCAAGGTGCCTCGAAAACGATTCCATGTTCAATTTTGGTCGAAACACATCAACTTAGTGCATAATCAAGCAAATAATATAGAACTATTTCATACGGATCAAATTGCATGAGCTTTCGGTGGAGAATGGAGATATATAGTGCACCTATCTTTATCACAAACTGAGGTTTCTAGACGATTCCAGTATTTCCTCTGGAGGTTTCTCAATCGATCGAAAAAAGATTCAAAATTATGTTGACTGGCGAGGTGATTTGTCTTAACAAAAATTTGTAAACTTTTTCTAGTGGTTGCTAGAAATTAAGTAGTTATTAAAGTTGTCATGTATCCAAAGGTTGTTTCATTGATAACGACTAACAAGCCAATAGAGCAATAGCTTACATACGTTATAAAATATATCAATTCAGAGATTGAACTAAAATGCTTTACGGTATGTCATTTAGATAGTAGATACATTTTACTGAATAGAAAAATGTGTCTATAAAGTTATTACCATTATCACATTATTATAAGCTTCCTAACTGATCAGCGATGAGGCTGAACCCACATCCTATTATCTTGTCAACGAAATAATTGTTGAAATCATACTCTAAAACTAGTCAAATTGTAAGAAAGATGTGCTTTTTCAAGCAAGTAGGTATTAAACATAACTTTAATTTATAAAATTTATTTATTAAAAAATCACCTCGTTCGCTAACCCTTGTCCTTGACTCTTTTGTGCCTTTGGCACTTGAGTCATGGATCGAGAAATATTAGACAATAATTCATGACAATTTTACAATAATTCAGGATTGTCTTTGTAAGATTACACGATACTTTCATTGCAGAGGTAGTTATTGGTTATCATCCTTCATTTTCTGTTCAGAATTAACGTTCTTCATCGTTACTATAATATTAATTGTTATAAAATTATCATTGTAGCCAGTTATTTTATGATTTTCATCATCATCATCCTTTGTCTACAGCATTGGTTATTAAATGGCGTGGATTAATTCGTGATATTTTCAACCATTCTATTGAATCTTAACCTTATTGTCTGAGTTATAGTTCTAATATATCATCATCAGTAAAAGTAGGAAGATGGGGGACTTTGCACTTGACGAAACTGCATTGCCCATGGCAAATGCTTTTAACAAGCAGATTGAGGACCAGGTAAGAAATTCCTCTAAAATTACTGGAAATTTCTGCAATGTTTTAAAAATGTAAAAACTCTCTTTTTTTGCATGTTTTGCTTGTATAATATGATAAGTGATAACTGATCATATTATGTTTAGTGTTTACTGATAGTAAAATATTTAAAAATCGTTATCAGGTAAAGCATAAAGACACTGAACTTTATACCATGGACAGTGATATAAAGGAGAAGAGAGCCCGAGTTGAAGCAATGTCGGAGCACATGAAGAATGTCCAACAGGAGTTGAGTATCACTCAGAATCTGGTAGCTGCTCGTTTGAAAGAAATTGAGTCAGAGAATCATCTTCGCATGCTGGCAGAGCGAGAACAGGGTCGAATCAATCTGCAGATCAAGAGAAAAAAGGATGATATTGATGAAATCAAAGAGAGACAAAACACCCATGAGAATAACATGTTTAGATATACACAAAAGATTGAACAGATCAAACAGCAGATGAAGTGGAGTCAGAAGGTTAATTCATGTCAATTTCAATGAATTTGCATGACGTATAAATTGAGGTCAATTCCCCCTATCAAATTTTGAACCTATTCTTTTTTACCATTTTTATCTTTTCAAAGCTACTTTTTTCAGTATCCATTGTATTGTCATTGTCCCATATTTTTATTTTCCTACATTTTCGATGTGAAAGCTTTTTCTGTTGTAATCGTCTAACCAATTGTTATTCAGGAATTGGAAGATTGGCTTGAAGAAGCATCACACAGAGATGAAGATGCAATGACGCTCATGAAGTACGCAAAAATTGACGATGCCAAAATAAAGGTATTTATCTTTATTTTAATCTTAGTAGCAATAAAGCATATCCGACTTAAAGCATCGGTCGTTTAAAAAATTTGCCTCATGGAGCTGACATCAATAACTTTGCAGCGTTAAGTTTATGAGCAGTCTGAGGGACGAAGTTTTAGAAAATTAGAAATATGTCTGATATGCCCAATATTCTGATTGATACCAAAATACAAATTGTTCATCCGGAACCCTTCTAGGAATTGACACTGAAACTAGAAAAGTTGACTGAAGACAGAGGAAAGAAGAAGAAGATGTTAGAAAACGAAGTCACCAGCACACTGACTACTCAGGCTAGTGAAGTTGAAATCTTCTGTTACCTACACTCTATGTAAACAGGAACATTTTATATAACTTCTTTCGGTGTCAAGCTTTGCAATTTGCCAGGTGACAGGTCAGCATACGTTGTTTGCTGGACAATGATAAATTTATTGAAAGTAAACTATTCGCAGATTGAACTGGACAAAACGGCTGAAGCTTTCAGACAGGCTCATGATGAAAGGATGGAGGTGTTGGAGCAGTGGGAATCAATAATACGTAAGTTGAGCTCCTTTGTGTTACCTTATTTTGAAGATTTCATATATTCAATAATCAGTACCCCCATTGATATAGAGATCTGCGACGTCATTTAAATAAAATGTTTGACCTCTGCAGTGCAGATGCAACGGCGTGACGAAGAGATGGAGCAGGGTGCAGAAGAGTTGCGCAGCCTCAAAAACCAGATCAAAGTAACCGAGAATCAGATGTCAGAGAAGCAACAGTTCTTGGAGAGTGAGCAGGAAAACAATCACGAAAAAGAGAAAGTTGTGGACGTTGCTGAGCGACAGGTTAATGAAGTGCATTTTGAGAATGACGAAGTAAAAATTGCCTCTTGGATAGTAGCGGGGGATTTCATCTTACACTCGAAATAAAAATATTTGATCATTAATCAATAGATTCTTTCGACTGGTTATATAAATAAATATTAGTATCAAGTCAAGGCAGGTTGTTTGTTGACGTGATCAAACAAGTTAAAAATTTCAGGTGGCAAAGATAAGACTTGAATATCAAGATGCTGAAAACGCGAGGATTCAATTCAGGGACGAGGTTTGACTTTTGAAATAGATGTGTCGTAAATTTGCAGGAATATTCTTCAAAAAATAGAGAAGAATTATCGAGATTAAGGTGAGCCACCACTACCCACAGTTCACTATTTTAGTACTCCATTCTTTAGAAATAACAGGCTCATCTCATCATATTTCTCAATAAGTATCTTACAATCGATTTAAAGACTTTCCAATTTTTTCAGATTAAAATATCGACAAACTAAGAATTGCATAGCATTGCAATTGACATGAGCTTAAATCTTAAAATACTATGCTCTTTATTATGAGCCTTTCTCTAATTCCTCTAACTTTTAGGTGGATTGTTGTTCACCTTAGTTTCTGTCGTCCTAAACATTTCCGTACAGACAGCCTCCATAAAATACAAAACAATAAAGTGTGATGATTCGGAACATAGCAGCCCGAACATAGCAACCATTGATTTAGGTTACACGATATTTGAAAATTTCCATAAATTACTTACTTAAACCATCTTTACTGTTCTTGTATACGTCACACCAGCTACAGGCTCACTTCTTTGCGATGCTGTTGTACGTGTATTTGTTTCCCTGTAATCTTCAGTTATAATATGTGTGATGGGTTGGTTATTTGATAACTTTGTAAAGAGAGCTTACCTTGGCCTTACTCGCTTTAATATAGTCTATTAGTGACAGTGGCAAATGACAAAGTGATTTACAGATATTTGGAGAAAGGACGTGTCCACAAAGTTGCAGGTCTACAAGATGTTATCTTTAGCTACTGTTTTTACTCTCCTTTACTCCGTCCCAAATAATCTGGTTAATGGTTTGCTGTTATGTGTCACCCGTTTGCCACACAGTTACCGTCCACAGTCTATATACTGTCATCTTTGTGAATTAGTACTATTCTTCCAATTCTTTCTACCCCTCGAGGACCAGATTTAAGACATTTTCAGCAGTAAAAGTCATGTTATAACTCATTTTAACTATCATAAGTGTAGTTGTATCGACGATAGAAACACTTTTTATCAACATAAACAATAAACATATTATATTATAATAACACTATTCAGATCAATTCAATTTTTCATTAAAACGTCTTATGACACTTTAAAAACAATAAAATCACTCCAATTACCGGTTTAAAATGATTTCATTTTTTGCTGGGGAAAAATATATTGTCCGAAATTATAACCGGATAATGTCTACTGTACAGTTCAATGTTCGCCTTTTCCATAAGGTCCACTTCCAAACACCTGAATTTCAATAAAGTTTATGTATTTGTCGAGACTCTGCTTCACATAAATCTTTCGTCCGTACACGTCACCATTAACCTGGATATTGTAGAGTCGCTGGTTGTCGTGAATAGATCCGATCAGCTGGTCATCAGCATAGATCAGCACACCTAGAGCGTATTCTTGTTGGACATCTATCCTATTCCACAACTTGATGGTATGCACTTTAAAGAAGGCTCCGAGGTCAATGATAACCATGTTGTTTCTGCGATTCATTCCTCGGCCAGGGTGTGAAATAGGATTATCAGTGTTATATCCTGCACTTAAAGTGTAAATACCATCCACTACAAAGTCAGAGTAGTACATATTGTCCCAGGTGCTGTTTTGCCATGTCAGTTTGTGTTGAGAAATCAACCTTACCTCCGATCTCATGACATCAACTTTCTCCTCGACATTAGTTAGTTTGGTGCTCAACTCCGTCCTTACACTGTCCACGCTATCCTCTAATCTAGACATTCGTTCCTTCTGCTCTGTTCTCAGGGTGTCCATCTTATCCTCCAAACTTTTAACAGAATCAAGGACGTCCTTGACCTCTCTGACAAGGTCCATGAGCTGTAGAGCCATTATACTGGCCCTTTGTCTTTCACCGAACAGAGAGTACATCTCTTCTCTTAGGTTCAGAGTTTCTTCCCGGAAGTGCTGTTTCATTGTCGATACATCGTTAGTTACCTCAGCCGGGGGTGCATCCGCTGTATTTGTGGTTACGAGGATGCATGGAAATAGCACAAAAATTAAAAATATGCCCATAGTATCAATACAGGACGGGATGAGTAATGAACGATATGAATATGTAGATTGTATGGTTAACAGGAGTCTAAAAACGGCGCAAAGTCTCAGAGCGAATGCGAATTTAGGTAGAATCGTCGTCTTTGAAAATCGAATTATCCGTTATCACCAACGATGGACAATCGCAATTAAAATAATGTGAACTCACCAATGTTCATAACTCAACCTTGTTGTTCATCTACTTTAGATGCCCACGCTTATCGTAAAAAACTCATTAAATTTCTTAATCAAATTTTTAATTTCCTGTGTGCAACGAGACACGTAAAAAAATCAGAATGGAAAGAAAAACATTTTATGTTAGTCTATGTCTTACAGTTCCCATGACCAAAAACGTTCCCATCTTCTCAGTCATCAGATTTTATTGGATTTCATGTTGACTTAATCAATTTTATATCCCAGCTCGAGACCCTGAAGTATTGTACGGAACGAACAAACTCAGATCTTGAAGTCAGAAGAGGTGAAGTTAATCATTTGAAGAAAGAAATTAAAGCGAAGGAAGAAAAGTTAGTCAAGCTTTCAGTATTCAAGAAAACCATGTTAAGAGAACAATTGAAAAGAGTTTCCATGCTTCTAAAAATAACCTCAAACGCTCATTTACGATCGTTTTATCAATGCACTTCAACAGGTTGAATTCAGTGAAGCGCAATGTTGAAGAAGCTAAAGAAGCACTGGACCGGACATTGGACAATACCCTCTCAGCAGAAGAGCGTGCTGTAGCTGCCGACGAGTTCCTTGACAAGGAAGAGATGTGGGTTCGGGAAATTGCAAAGGAAATTAGGCGACTTCGTGAACAGCAGGTAAAGAAAGCTTTGTAATCAAGTCGGCGGTATTTTCATGCGTATTTTGTCGCGAATTGGCAATATATTACAGATTTTGTATGACTGAAATGTATTGCGCTGTTGTAAAAATAGTTAATTCTGTGCGCTAAAGTGTTGTGTTGCTATGGTAACCCGCCGCGCAATAATAGGGGTGTTAATTCGTTCATTCGAAACAGGATTAAGTTGCAAAATTTTGAATTTTAAACCGGGGATTTTGACGTTATGAGGCATAAGCATAATATACTGTATCGGATACTTGAACCATTGAAATAAAAAGTTGATATCAAACGGCGTAAATTTAACATTTTCTTCTCCTCAGTTCAAGAAAAACGAAGCATTGCAACATCTGAAGACGACAGCCAGCAACAAGCAAGCAGAAATACACGGATCCCAAGCAGCGTCTAAGAATTTAAGCAGCAAACTCAACAAAATCGACCAAGAAGCTCTGAAACAGCACGAAATAATTTACAATCAGGTTAGTCTACTGTTAAAAGTACCAAACTCCTCACCACAGACCAGCAAATTTAAATGCTGGTCAAAAGCTTATGTCCGTATGGCGAGGGCAACTAAACAACCTTTGACTCTAAGCACCTCCGGTCATTCATTTGGAACATTAATTGCTGTATTCATGATAATTAACTTCAGGATTTCCAACTGCAAGTATTGGAGAGGAAAGTAGCTCGACTTCAAGGCGAAAGAAGTGACGAGGAACGGGAAGCTCTAGCCGAAAAAATTAAGGTCCTGAATGAACAATACGAGAACCTTGCAGATACCAAAGTCTTCCTTGAAGATCAGATGAAGAAGTTGAACGACGATCTAAGACGAGGAAAGAGGGAGCTGTCTAAGAGTACGGATGAAAAGGATTACCTGGCCACAAAGATTGACGAGTTGAATCTACACAACGATAGTTCACAGAGGTCCCTCAAGAAGATGACCTCTGAAAAAGATGATCTTATGGTATGCGATTTTTTTTGTTCAAGTAGCTTCACTCTTTTGCGGTATTTTTGGAAATGTACTCTTTTCGCTCCAAAATACTTAACTTAACCAAATCTATTCCCCAGGTGGAACACAACATACTAAAACTTGAATTAAAGCGGCTCCGTCAAACATTGAACCAGCAAGCGGATGGTGTGTGGAGTCTCAACAAGCGGAGGTTACAGCTGCAAAAAGCGATGGACGAAAGGAAGATCGATATCGGGATACACACAGACATGTTGCAGCAACAGATTAAACATGCTCAGGGGGAGAAATCTAAAATTAGGTTTGTTTCCCACTTTTGAATCTCAGTGCGTCTTTATATCCCTCAAGTAGTTGAACTTAATTTTTGATTAAAACAAGCATTAAGAATCACTGTCAAAATTTAATTCTCCAAATTGACACCATTCACCACAGCGCTGAACTGCACGAGCGATGTACACAGATAGACAAACTCCGCAAGCGTTACGAGATCCTGATGACCACCATGGCTCCTCCGGAGGGTGAAGAAGAACACTCGGCAGCGTACTATGTTATTGCAGCTGCTCAGGTTTGCGCTTACTGGCACACAGTGCATGTTCTAATCGATAATCTAGCGTTGGCTTGTTTGCTTTACTTTAGTATCGATAGGGACGACAAAACCGTTCTAGAATGTTTGTTAATCAGTCAATGGTTATAAATTTATCCTGTTTTGTTGCTGGAGAAATTCGCGATGTAATTTCATAGTCAGAAAATTCAACACTATATTAATTTGTAGCTACTAGATCAAAATAGTATCCACCTTGTATCAGTAATCAGAATGTTGTAATCCTATGATAGTTGATTTTGTCTAGAAACGCCACGAAATCTGGCCTGGATTATCTTCATTTATTAAACGATGCTACTCCCACTGACAAATTTGGATAATCGTTTATAGTAACGATACGGTCTGAATATATCCTGAGTATTCCTGACTATGTTTATTTAGACCACACAGTCTCCAAAGAGATGAATTTAAGATATTAGGGCTCTAAATTTATGTGAAAATATTCAGTGGTCCGACTCGAGAATTTTAAATGTATTGAGAACTGGGTAACCGTAAGAATTGTATCGTTTATTCTAGGTTTGTGGTATGCAGGGCGTCACGAAACCTCGTCATTCTTTTGGAGTCACAATTTGGCCAGTTACTAGTCTAATAACAACTAGACCCTGGGGCCTGGATGTTTTTGATGGAAAAAATGCTGGAGCAGTTTTATATTCATTGCCCAGAGTGTGGCCTATTATTCAAAATATCTTTGATTGACAGGATGTCTGTCTCGGTTTATGTGTATTTCTCTTTTCGACACTATCATACTGCATGGGGCGAAGGTAGAAATTCTTTTGACTAATATGACAGCTTGTGGTGAAGCAGGCTTGAAGTGACGATCTGAAACTGTAACTGGCTAAATAAAAGGAATATTTAGGAGATCATTATGTTTGGTTCCAAAGTTAAGGAATTTTCATAAGGAAAACCCAATTGCAACCGAAGTTCAGACTCCATTTAATGATTATTGTTTTTCAAAATCAGGAAAAAGAGGGTCTACAGAGGGAAGGAGACCAACTCGATGCTAACATCCGTAAAGCAGAAAAGGAAATCCACGCTCTGGAAAACACGATTAAAGTCATGAACGCCCGCAACACCATGTACCGCAGCAACTTCACTAAAGTCGAACAAACTAGTAAGTACTTACTTCATTAACTATACCCTCATCTCTGCCGTTTTATGACAAAAGTTTATTTTGTGCAAATTGACTTTAAAGAGTTCAATTCTGTAATTGCTCTGGGCTAGCTGCTGTCAAATTTAAACTGCACCCATTATGTTTCTAAGGTGCTTTGTCGACTTTTGAGACATATGACAAGGTTTCATCATCCTAACTTCTCGGAAAGTACCTCAAAATCACAAATTATAGTTTGAATTTCTTAGAAAAGTGCTGAGTACAGCCACATCGACAAATTTCCAAAATGTTACTTAAGCACTATTGTCAGAAAACGGCAGATCTGTCCTGATAATAAATTTCTGTTCATTACTCCGATTCCGCCTATAAATGTGGTCAAGTACTGCCCGCATAAATCATTTTAAATTTGTCGTTCTGTATATTTCCAGCAAGCTGTCAAGTTATCACTCACCTTCAATCTCTATATTACTAATGTTCTTCCTAAAACTTTAATTCCCCTCCACCAGTCTCTATTACTAAATGCCGTCTCAAAACTTCAATGTCATGGTAAACTGTGACAACACGAGCTTGTGCGAAAACTGCGCTGCCATGTAAAGTAAATTATGGTTCTCCAAGTTTCTTCAGAACTGTTGAATCACTATTTGGTGCAGTAAGGAGTAGAGCCAATGCTACCAATGAATTTATCTGCTGACTTCTCACGAGCTAGATAAGCTTAAGAAAATTGACAGAAACTTGGGACCTAGATTTTACAAAAGTTCCTCGCCTCGCCCCCGGCCCCCCTCCCCACCACCAAGCCTCCTCCGCTTTTAACTTAAATCCCTTTTATCACAAGGTGAGGACTTAGAGGACGAGAGAACGCTGGAGGAGCAGAGACGTGCCGTAATGGACAAGTACAAATACAAGCGACGTCAGGTCCGGCATCTTCAGTTTTTTCCGCTTTTCCATCATTATGTCAAAAGATTCCATATTTAATTAATAAGTCTATTCATAATTCCCGGTTATATTATATAAATCAAGAGGCTTGCATATAATGAACATATTGACACGGGTGCAGAGTTGAGTCTGTACGGAACCTAGTAGTTTCAGTTCCTTGTTTAACTTGCCGTACAGCAAGGACATCCACTACTTTAGCCCGGCGAGGCACATAACTCACTCTACAACTCCTTGTCAAATGTTTGATATATACTAGCCAAGTTCACAAGATATATCCTTGTGTTTGAGAAGCGCTCGTTAGAACTGCTTCCTTTCCCTTCAGTATCCCACAGTCTCTCGAGTTTCTTACGATGTTCGTTTTTTTGCAGGTACGAGAGCTTCAAGAAGATTTAGATGCCATGTCGAGAACCTACGACAATCTAGCGGCGGAGGAGGGAACCATCGGAAACCAGGTACGATTTATTTTGGTGAAAAATTTACTAAACTTATCACTGTAAATTAGTTAATTGGAATTAAGCTGATTTTTCTAACTTTTTCTCTAACTTACTATAACTATCTCATCTAACAATTTCGAATTCGCAATTGTAAGACAATTGTTTAAAAAATCCATGTTCACAGGTCGGCGATTCGGAGGTCAGGCTGGAAGGAGCAAAGAAACAGTTGACGGATCAGCAAGGTAAACTTGACAGGGTGTCCAAGCAGCTTGTCAGATATGGAAGAGATATTAGATCTAAGAAGGGCAAGAAAACTCAGACTCCCGAGGAGGTTGGTTAATTGGTTTAATGAGTTATTGAGTATATTATGGGATGGAAAACTCAGCCCATTGAATAGAGATATAACTACTTCCGATTTAAGTTACAGTTCCTTGCATATCCGAAAGATTATTTCTCGGCCAAACTTGCTGCAAAACTGTATTGACCTTTGCTATTTTTACCTATGTTGAAATTTAAAACAACCACACTACCTTTGTTAAACAAAATTTCGTCCCCAACAGGACGACATAAACTTACGAGACATGGCGAACTTCAACAAAGACATCGCCTCCAAACTAGTGTCTAGCATCCAGTCCTACCCGGAAGCGTTCTCCACCCTTACTAACCTCCTTTACCAGTCCAGCATCCCCATACCCTCCACTCAGCCCGGCACGGGGTCACGGACTCCTTCCCGGGCTGGGTCTAGCACTTCTTCTCTTCTTTCTATCAGGTACAGAAACATGCAACTGGATAATAACTGACTCCGGATCAAATTGCTACCAGTCCGGCTATAAATTATAATCGGGAATTTTATACCTCGTGACGATATCATCACACTGAGTAACTAATTAAGGATAAACTTATTGCAGGGAAAATTTCTTTTTGTGGGGGTGTGGTTCACCTTCTGGTTTAGCAATACAGTGATGATTATCTTACTACAGTGAAACATTAAATTGTGACCTTTTTCGCGGTAACGCTCTATTTCTGATATTGTTATTGGTTTTCAGAGTACTAAACTAATAATTGTAACTTGATAGGTGGTACAACTTTTAAATTTGATCCCCAAAATTGGCGGCATCCTCAAAATGCATTAGGCTGTTTTGCAAAATTAATTATGTATCAGTTAAAATGGTTTGCAGTAACAATGTTTTACTGCAGCTTTTATTTTTGTGCCACACTCCAGCCTCTCGTTGGAATTTAAGATCTGTATATTTTACTAAGTGACGGTCTGATTTTGCAGGAGTGAGAAGAGCATAACGAGCGTCAAGTCGGTAGCCCTGGGAATAACATCTCCTACCTGTACGTAACTATGTAATTGTAGCCTTGGCTGCAGGGAAACTTCGTTACTTCACCGGTCTGTCATAGCAAGCCCAACTTTGTGGCGTGGGAAAAACTGTGTCTCATGAGCAGATCAGTAGCACACCTAGGATAGCGCTACCTTACCGACATTAGTCGAATATTTCTCATGATTCCTAAATGTTTTCAGTTGACGGTCCCGGCAGAGCAAGCCCGAAACAGTGAAGCTCAACTGACGTCTTATGAAGATTTAATTTGAACTGTAGCGGAAGCGAACGAATGTTTTTGTTATATCATTCAATGACTTGCGAAACGAAAATAGATATTATATTGTACAGAGCGCTCAACTTGCTGATATGTAATTTAATTGTAATATAATAGCTGTGGATACGATGATGTATCATATGTTTTACAGATTTTTGAGAGAAAGTTAATATCTTTCATTTGATTCCAAAGTCAAAACGCGAACAATAACCTGATAAAAACAAGACATCCAGAATCACTAGTTGTAAAATTTTGCAGCAGTATTATGAATAAAGGACCCTGTACTCGGTAGCCAACTGCCAATCTGGTAATGAGTGTTATGTTGGGTATTGACGGTCTCTTGTGGAGTAACAAATTCGTTTAATTTATCAATTAATTGTTGTTATGAGCACTAATTTACTCTTTGAGGTTTATTGCTCCCCCACCTTTGAGTCTTAACAGTCTATTATAATTAAGTGAACTTGCCGATTAAAGCTAATCCGGAAAATTGGTACTTTATTAATTACTTAGGGGCAATTTAGGAGGTCGTTTCCTGCAGTGTCTATTAACGCCTAACTGTAAAATAACGTGAACTGCAGAGAAGTGGCACACAATAATAACTTCTGTCAGCAGCACACGAGCGGACCGGCTTGAGGGTCCTGGCTTCACAGGACCCACGTGACCGTTTCACCTGTCATATAACTGGCGTATAACGAACCACGTGCTATAGCGCACCCAGTCACATGTACGCCCACGTGACACACTGCGACGTCTTTGATTGGGTGAGCCGCGCGCACGTGACCTGTTGTGCGTTAATAAAGTGAGCGGGAGAGCGTGTGTGTAGGACCCTGGGGGTCTCTAGCACACTTCGCTGGGAGACAGCTTCTGTTTCGCTCTGTTCCTCTCAGCTCCTCTCGCCCTAATGTATCAGTTACTGCTGCTGTTCATTAAAGCTTTCTGTGTTTGCTACCATCTATCGGAAATTTGCGTCAGTAAATAATAATTAACCGTCATATAATCGGAATTATTTAATGGATCATGTATGGTTTATTCTGTAAACGATCCTTTTTTAGGCTCCTTAATAAAATATCAAGTAATCAGTTGTTCTGTTTCTCTTTTTGTATGAATTCATCGTCTTTTTATTAGGCCTTCGACATATTTTGAATTTTTAGAATTGACTTTGAGAAACTTTATTCCGATAAATTGCATATTTAGGGACATTCTGTTCAGCCTTGTCTGTTGTCATTGTTTACAATTTCCGGTAAGTGCTCGAATCATTGATGTGAAACAAGCTAAGTGTTAGCAGGTTTTAAGTAGCATTGTAAATTGATGCCACTTGGATAGCGATGATAGTTACCACTAGTTACACACATCACAGGTTGACTGACTTTCATTTCAACTCAACTTTCCCTGCATTTTCCATTGGCAGGGTTATTCCGAGCTTATCTCCCATTGGCTTAGATAGTCCTAATTGGCGAGCTAAATCTAATCTATGTGGGCTTATTTATACCATTAGTTTTACTTAATAAACCCAGACTGCTGACATTAGAGGGCTTTAAGCTGTCAAATTTACATATATTATTTATAAAGGAGCATATATTACTGGCTCTATATTGGGGGAAGCTTGTCAGGCTTCGGCCTGAACGTGTGCCGCTATGAGCCACCCCACCCTCTCTCTCCTTGACACTAGCCAGCTGAAAATGTACCTCCTCACCAGTTCAACATGTACCTCCTCACCAGTTCAACATGTACCTCTTCACCAGTTCAACATGTACCTCCTCACCAGTTCAACATGTACCTCCTCACCTGTTCAACATGTACCTCCTCACCAGTTCAACATGTACCTCCTCGCCAGATCAACATGTACCTCCTCACCAGTTCAACTTGTACCTCCTCACCTGTTCAACATGTACCTCCTCACCAGTTCAACATGTACCTCCTCACCTGTTCAACATGTACCTCTTCACCAGTTCAACATGTACCTCCTCACCAGTTCAACATGTACCTCCTCACCAGTTCAACATGTACCTCCTCGCCAGTTCAACATGTACCTCCTCACCAGTTCAACATGTACCTCCTCGCCAGTTCAACATGTACCTCCTCACCAGTTCAACATGTACCTCCTCGCCAGTTCAACATGTACCTCCTCACCAGTTCAACATGTACCTCCTCACCAGTTCAACATGTACCTCTTTACCAGTTCAACATGTACCTCCTCACCAGTTCAACATGTACCTCCCTAGACAATTGGAAGGTGTTGGCTTCACCGTTAAAAATTCAGTTGTTTAAAGACCAATAGCCCATAAATATTTCAAGTATTACGCTTCTAAACCTCCATCCACCCTCATGTTCTGCCTTCCCGTTCCAGCTCAACGTGTACCTCACTCTCCCTTACTCGAGCCAGCTCCGGCTCTGCTATTTCTCCATCAAATTCCATCTCAACAGCATTAGTCCCAGAACATGAGGAAATACAGTTCGTGCCAAGCTACGAGGAGATCTCCACCTCCGCGCTACGTGCTGATCACATACGGGTTCATACTTGCCATGCTAATTTTACATTTTTCGTGTACTTTCAGCCGTAAATGTACTATTAAGGTCTCTCCCGGGGTAAGGAAATAATGCCTGAAATCTCAATACTGGTTGGAATGCTAGACTAGCGTTTATTAATAGCAGTTTTAATCCGGCTCTAGCCGGATGTTTCTTTTGTCAGGGTTGGGAACGGGGTTAGCAATTATTACCTCCCCGCATAAAACACCGTCTGCTCAGAGTCAAATTATCTCTTTTAGTAGTGTACAGATCAATCACCGCCCAATTTGACTTCTTGGGTTACACACCTCCACGCTCTTCTTATTAACGTGTTAATTTTATTTGTCATCTTTGATTACAGGCAGCTCACATTGTTAAGTATGGTAGGGGAATCTGTTTTGGTTTGATAAGTTGAAGGCGCTGTTTCATACTCTGAATCGTCAATTGAAGTTACCATCATCACTCCCTAATTTCAGGCTCGGCATGATTTTATTCATTCAAGCACCTGCCGAAAGCAAATCTCGAACTCTAGGGCTGCACCAATTAATTCTGATTTCTCCTCCTGCTTCGATAAGAACCCTTGCAATTGAGGTGTGTAGTTTGCGTTGATAGACATGAAAGCTTGGAAACTCGCTGTCTCAAGTATGGCAGTTATCAACAAGTTTCAAAGTTTATGCTACATAGCAAGTGTTACCATGTGCATCGAACCTCAAGGTCTTCAAGCCGCTCTCTCTCTCTCCTGATTTTGGCGGAGGTTGTGGCCCTCTTGGTGCTTATGTCTTCACCACACCTCAGCCACTCATGTTTGTCCTTTTTTTAGGTAATTAGTACTATGAAAATTCGGTGTGACCGAATTTTGATCCCCAAAACTTCAGTGGACCGAATACCGAATATTGGTATTCGAATACTAATATGCATCGCACTAATCGACTCTAGTCCTTTCCTTACTAATGTCCATTCTGCTTTAGTCTAACTCCATCAATTCACGCCCTCACGGTCTCGACCTGTAACGTAGCCAACTTGAACCGTACCCATAAGTTAGATTCCATGTTGATCTGGGGTAGGTAGCGTAGTGACGGTTAGTGAACCGAGGAACTTAATTACTTTTATGGTGGCAGAAAATCAAGAGTAGAAGAAACAAGGTTCCATGAGTCCACGTGCAATTTGGGGTGGCTTGTAACTCCTCTCACTCGTGTAAGTTTAGCGGATTAATGGGGTCGGGGTGCGCTAAAGTGCTCACGAATTCATCTGGGAGATGAAGAAATCTGCTAAAGTCACTGTCCTATCAGGGACTTTGGCGGGAGTAAAAATCTAAAATGTTGAAGTTACTGTGAAGCCCTTTTTCTGAGGAATAACTGATAATTTTCGTTTGACCCTTACAATCGCTCACTTTCCTTCATCACTAAAACCATATTCCCTTTCGAGAAACAAATCACAAAACCCACTCTCCTTTTTAAGGAAGCAATTTCACTGAAACTTAAAACCCTTTTGATAATGTGCAACTCACTATACACTGTCACTGTAATGTACAAACACACGCTCCACATTTGAACCGGGCCAAAGGGCCCCCAGGGGCTCTGTCCGACACAATATGTGCTCCTTTATAAATAATGTGATTCTTCCCTCCTTTGTACTCAAGCTCAGAGAAACAATGCACCGTCAGCCGGCTCGATGGCAGTGTATCTACAGGCTCATCTCCACGGAGGCAGAATAAAACGTTTGCGGAGGCAGATCCTCGTTTTTCTTCTTTTGTTTCGTCAGGAATTGAGTCTCCGGTCCTCTAGTCCTTTTCCCGGATTTGGGTGTCTTTTGATGCCGGAGCTTAATCATAATTCTTACAACTCTCCATGCTTTTGTTGGTCGTTTCTTGTATTGTTTGCCTTAATACTATAAGTTGCATAATTGTAAAGTTAAATTTATGAGCAGGGATATACGCGAGCTGGTTTATATGCTAGTTGTTTTTAAGGGTTCAGGTTTTTACATATTGGACGTTTTAACTCATAATGACGACGAACTTACTACATTACTCTCCTCTTCATGAAAATAAATCCTGCTTGTAAAATCAACAAGTCTTCTTAGATATTGCGAGTGCTCGCTACTTCCTTTTTTATAGCCGAAACCCTATGCTCGAAAAGTTCACCTTAGTCTATCTTACTTTGTCAGCTCAGTTCATTTGCAACATTTCTTAAAGATCAGAAACAGCTTATAATTGGTTAACGAAATGACTCTAATATTGATTATTGACCCACCTTATTCGTATCAGTCGGAACAAACTTTTGAGATGAGAATTCAGAAGTAGAATACAAAATAATCCATTTTTGTCCATTAGATCTGTTCATTTATAGGAGTTAAAAAACCGCCATAGAGTACAGCTTGTTGTTCCATTTTTCATCTTTGATAGGTTCAAATCAGTCGATTGCACATTCCAGTTTGCGAATGATAACATACATAAATTAATCTTACGTAATATTCACAAAAAAATTTTATACTGTCTTATTAACTTGTATACTTTAAATATATCCCTCTATCCAAATATGTAAAATCCGGATTGGAGTATTGTTTATGAGTCGCATTGTTGTTATGTATTCTGGGTAAAATTATCTTTATCCCGGTTGTTGCGACAAGTGAAAATGCTCTTTTGTCGCAACAACCCGGATAAA